CCGTCCCTGCCCGCGGGCACGGGTCCCGCCCGCCGCCGCCGGCGCTGGGCGCAGCCAATGGCGCGGCCGCTGTCAGCATCGGCCCGCCCGCTGCCGCCGGGGGAGGGCTGTGGGCCGGGGCGGGCGGGAGGRGAGTTGAATGATTGAACTTTCTTGTGTAGTTTCTGCGGCGCGGAGGTGTCGGTTCCCGGCGCAGCCCGGCACCAGCCCGCCGAGCGGGAGCGAGCTCAGCCCGGCGCCTGCAGCCCCCCGCGCCGCCCCTCTGCCCTCCTCTCCCGCAGAGCGATGGTGCGGAGGGCGCCCGGCGTGTCCCTCGCCCTGCTCCTCTGGGTGACGGCCGCCTGCGGCAGCCCCGACGGGTCGGGGGCAGCCGCCGCCGCCCGAAGGCAGGACGAGGCTTTCTCCACMGCCAGATGCACCTCCAGGTGCCTGAGCCTCCAGATCACCCGCATCTCCGCCTTCTTCAAGCATTTCCAGGTAGGGGCATGGCGCCGCGCAGGGAGCCCCGCTGCCGCCGTCCGGAGAGCGGGTGTCCCCCGGCACCGGCCCGCGATCGCGGGGTGGCAGCGCAAACACGGCCGGGGCCGGAGCGCCTCTTGGCGAACTTGGGGGGTCTCACTCCCAGGGGATGGCACCGGACAGGTGGGCACGGCCCGGTGCAGCGCCGAGCCCGCCCGTGCCCGTGGGTGCCAGCCGAGCTCCCCGCCTGGCGGGTCGTGGGGCTCCCGGCACGCCGTGTCCCGGCGGGGCGAGGCGGGGACACCGCTCTGCCCCGGCTCCTCGCAGGTGCCCGGTGCTCCCGGTCGCCTCCTCCGCTGGTGTCCGAGCGGCGCGGTGCTCCCGGCCGGGGCTGTGCTCGTCCTGCCGAGCGACGGGCGGCGCGGCGGCGATCCCGCGGGGCTCCGCCTGCCTGCGGGCCGCAGGTGGTTCGCTTCCCCAGCCTGGTGGGAAAGTTTGAGCCTGTTTTCTAAGAGCGATAATCGTGAACGTGTGATACGTGGTTCCGATATTCTGGAAAGTGAGGATAAGGGTAACACTT